CCAAAAAACAGTTACTTAAAAGGCATTGAGATGCCCGTTTGGGATAGGGAAAGGAAATCATTCTGTTATCGTACCTTTTCTACAATAATGTCATGGCTGATTTAGGAATTCTGAAAAACAGGATGCCTGCCCCTGACACACCCTTTGGGGGCCATCCTGCATTATCATCACAACCCCGTGTTAATAAATCCCCCCTTTTTCAATGAAATGAAGTCGACTGGCCAGAGTGCTTACTTTCTTTCAGATGATTTTTAGCTCACGGGGGTTTTATGGAACTTAAATAATTTCAGGTGGAAAAAAATTTCCACTTTATAATTTAAAATAAAAAAAGGGCCCAAAAGGGGATTTTTGTACTCGTTGAATTTGAGTTCTGTTTAGTAGGGGTTTACGGGCAAAAGGGTTTTAGAGGCAGGGTTAAATAAAATGTTGTTTATTTAATTCATGTTCTTCCCCTAAAATCTTACATAAATTTTTTTGGGGCTCTTACTGGTGTGTTTAAAATTTGGCAGCAGATTACCATTAAAAGTGACACATTCTGATTACATTGATTGCTTACTGCACAGAATATACTTACCATCAGCTTTGTTTTATTGTCTTTAGAGCTCAGATAATTGCTCCTCGAAAACGCAAGTTTGAAGAAGTATGAGAGGCAAGTCCATTCCGAACGTTCTTTCAGGGTTGAGTTTGGAGGTTGCTACTAAACTGCACTCCAGATTCTTGGTAAATCTGGATCCATCTCAACTGCAGTTACAATGGGACTGTCCATCTTATATGTAAATTGGGTACGTATTGATTGGTGAACACACTGTCCCCAGTCTCTAGTGTTCATACATTAAGCAAGATAAATGCACACCATGTGGCTGCATATCAGGGCTCATAATTTGCTTTGAGGAGCCGATTAAGCTAAAAGCCAATAAATGGATAAATGTGTTATGAATCAACGGAGCATAAAGACAGTCACACATTCATGCCCAAGGCTAGAGCATAAAATAATCCAAAAAAACCAAGATGTTTACATGAGTCCAAGTATATTAGATCATGCATGTTTTTTGATATCCTAAAATGTTATCTGTTTAGCTAATGGTGCTCGAGGAGAGTCCAAACATATTTTATTATGTAAACAAGGCCAGTGTTTTTCCTTTTCATTAATGATATTTAGTAGATTTTATATTAGTGTCTCCTTACAACTCAGTCCAGGTAAACTAAGAATTTGAGTTTCTGCTGCAGTACTTTCCCCTAAAAGCTACTGTGCCCAAATGCAACCTTGCCTGTGTGCTTTACAAGATGCTTTACTTCTCTCTACTTGATTGTAAGCTTAAACTGAGGTTTTTCATGCATCAAGTGGCCTGACTTATCCATGTATCTGGTTAGGATTTGTCTGCCCTGTAGTATTGTGATCCTACAGAGATTATAGGAAATGTGCAAATGTTGTCTTCATGTGGCTGAATTTGCAATCCTTCCTGGTAAATATGTATACATATTAACCACTTGCCTACCGGGCACTTATACCCCCTTCCTTACCAGGCCAATTTTCAGCTTTCAGCGCTGCCGCACACTTTGATTGACAATTGCGCGGTCATGCAACATTGTACCCATATGAAATTTTGATCATTTTTTTCTCACAAATAGAGCTTTCTTTTGGTGGTATTTAATCGCCACTGGGCGCTTTACTTTTTGCGCTATAAATATTAAAAAAAAGTGCAAAAAATTTGAAAAAAAAAAAAGTTTATTTGTTTCTTTTATAAAATTTTTCAAACAGGTATTTTTTCTCCTTCACTGATTTGCGTTTGATGAGGCGGCACTGATGGGCACTGATAGGCGGCACTGATGGGCACTGATAGGCAGCACTAGGCAAGCACTAAAAGGGCACTGATAGGCAGTACTAATGAGGTGGCACGGATAGGCGGCACTGATAGACAGCACTAATTAGGGGTCACGGATAGGCGGCACTGATATGCAGCACTGATAGGCGGCACTGATAGGTGACACTGATGATGGGTACTGATAGACGGCACTGACTGGCATCACTTCTGGGCACTGACTGGCGGCACTGACTGGCACAACCCCTGGGCACTGACTTTGGTGGCAGCACTGGCTGGGCTGGGGGGTGGCACTGGTGGACAGCACTGGTGGGTGGGCACAGGTGGGTGGCACTGGAGGGCACAGGTGGTTGGCACTGGTGGGCACAGGTGGGTGGGCACAGGTGGGTGGCACTGCTGGGCACATGTAGGTGGCACTTCTGGGCACAGGTAGGTGGCACTGCAGAGTGGCACAGGTGGGTGCACTGCTGGGCACAGTGGGGGCACTGCTGGGCACAGGTGGGGGCACTGCTGGGAATGGGGGGCGGGGCTAAGTGGGCACACTGCTGATCGGAACTTGCGGGGGTCACTGCTGGGCACCGATCATCAGGGCACTGATCATCAGTGCCCTGATGATCGGTGCCGATCCCCGCTCTGACAACTGCCGGTTCTCGGCAGTACTTTCCTCACGATCTGACAGCGTGAGGAAAGTGCAGCCGAGAACCGGCACTTGCATTTTCCTGTGATCAGCGTGTCATTGGACACCGCTGATCACGTGGTAAAAGGCCGGTGGGATCGGCCTTTCACCACATCACGTGATCAGCTGTGTCCGTAGGACACAGCGATCACGGAGATCGCCGGGTGCGCGCCCCCTGGGGCCGCGCAGGAGAGCGCGTTCTGGGAGGACGTCATATGACGTCCACTCAGAACTGGCCGGCCGCGGTGAAGCCGTCTTCGGCTATGCGCGGTCGGCAAGTGGTTAAAGTATGAAGGAGTTGTGCATCATACACACAATGATTATTTACAAATTAGGTCTAAACATAGCTAATGTGGTAGGTATTTGGCCGTGTATGGGTATCTTAAATCAAACTAAGCTGAAACCAAAAACAATTGCAGTGGGCTATTGATGTCTGTACATCTTAAGATTGCCAAAGGAGCTTCTAAACCCAGGGCCCTCTGTCCTTCAAATGTTAACACAGTTACATTAGTCTGGCTGAAAAAAAGACAAAAGTCCATCCAGTTCAGCCATGAAAAAAAAGTTATAATCCTATACCCACAGTTGATCCAGAGGAAGGCTAAAAACCCAGTAAACCATGATCCAGTTTGCTTGTGCAGGAGAAAAAATTCCTTCCTTATCTCCCAAGAGGCAATCGGATATTCTCTGGATCAACTTTACCTATAAATGTTAGTAACCAGTTATATTCTGTGTATCCAAGAAACATTCCATGTCTTTTTTTAAAGCAATCCACTGAGCTGGCCAGAACCAACTCATGAGGGAGTCTATTCCACATTTTCACAGCTCTTACTGTGAAGAAACCTTTCCATGTTTGGAGATTTAAATTTATTTTCCTCCAGACGTAAAGAGTGCCCCTTTGTCCTCTGTGATGACCTCAGGGTAAATAGCTCTACACCATGTTCACTATATGAAACCCGCTGATGTATTTATACGTGTTGATCATATCCCCCCTTAATCTCCTCTTCTCAAGAGGCAATAAATTCAGTTCCTCTAATCTTTCCTCTTAGCTGAGCTCCTCCATGCCTCTTATCAGTTTGGTTTCCCTTCTCTGTACTTTCTCCAGTTCCCCAGTGTTCTTTTTGTGAACTGGTGCCCAAAACTGAACTGCATATTCTAGATCAGTGTTACTAATGATTTGTACAGGGGTAAAATTATATCTCTCTCTCTGGAGTCTATACCTCTTTTAATACAAGAGAGGATTTTGCTCGCTTTAGAAGCCGCAGCTTGGCATTGCATGCCATTATTAAGCTTGTGATCTACCAGAACTCCCAGATCCTTCTCCACCATTGATTCCCCCAGTTGTACTCCCCCTAGTATGTATGATGCATGCATATTCTTAGCCCCCAAGTGCATTACTTTACATTTATCAACATTAAACCTCATTTGCCACATAGTTGCCCAATTAAACAGTAGATTGAGGTTGGCTTTTAAGTTGGAGACATCCTGTAAGGACGTTATTCCACTGTACAGCTTGGTGTCATCTGGAAAGACTGAAATGGGATTTTTAATCCTTGACCTTATATCGTTTATAAATGTATTAAAAAGTAAGGGTCGCAACACTGAACCTTGAGGTACACCACTGACAACCCTAGACCATTGAGAGTATGAATCATTAATCACTACTCTCCGAATACAATATTTTAGCCAGTTTTTCGATCTATTTACATACAGATTTTTCCAAGCCTGTAGACTTTACCTTACACATTAGCTATGTGTGGGAACTTTGTCAAACGTTTTATCAAAAGTATCCAAGTATACCACGTCCACCGCCACCCTTCTGTCCAAGGTTTTGCTCACCTCCTCATAAAAACAAATCAGATTTGTTCGACAACTTCTGTCTTTAATGAATCCATGCTGTCTGTTGCTTAAAATATTTTTTTTCCAGCAAGAACTCATCTATGTGGTCTTTTATTAAACTCTCCAATATCTTCCCAACTATAGAAGTTAAAGTAACAGGTATATAATTACTTGGTAAAGATTTTGACCCATTTTTAAATATAGGCACTGCATTGGCCTTACGCCAATCCAGTGGTACTATGCCAGTCATTAAAGAGTCCCTAAAAATTAGAAACAATGGCTTTGAAATGACAGAGCTCAATTCTTTTAAGGACCCGTGTCAATACCATATCCATTATGGACAAGAGCTCCCCCATTGCTTCTTTGTATAAACAGAGCTGAAGAAGGTATTTAATAAATTTGCCTTCTTTTTGTCCCCAGTCACCCAGTTTAGATTATTTTGTAAAGGGCCTACAGACTGGACCTTTTTACTATTAATATATTTGAAGAATTTTTGAGGGTTTGTCCTGCTATCTTTTGCAATCTGTTGTTCGTTTTCAATTTTTGCGACCTTTATTTCCTTTTTGTATATTCTGTGATATTCTTTGTAATGTTTAAACAATGATAGCGCTCCTTCATTTTTATATTTAATAAAAGCTCTTTTCTTATTTATAGCTTTTTTTTAACTTTGGCCATAAGCCACATAGGTTTGATTTTTAGCCATTTAAACTTGTTGCCCATGGGAATATATTTTGCAGTGTGTTCACATACAGTCTTTATGAAGAACTCCCATTTCTGTGTTGTGTTAATCTATGCCAGGTCTTGGAGAGCAGCTCTCAGCCTTGGAAAATTAGCTCTCTTAAAGTTGAGCGGTTTTATTTTTCCTGTATGTGCTTGTTGTTTACAGCTAACAATAAATGAAATCATGTTATGGTCACTGCTACCCAGATGTTTTTATATGGACAGTAGTAATAAGCTCTGCATTGTTTGAGACTACTAGGTCCAGCATAGCATCATTCCTACTTATAGCCTCTGTGAACTGTACCATAAAATTTTAATAGATTTAAAAATGTTTGCCCTTTAACTGTTCTTGTAGTGCCATTACTCCAGTCAATTTCCAGGTAGTTAATTTGGGCTCAAGCCCACATCTTTATTGGCCAGGCAGGCTACACAATCCCACAATATGCCAGTAGTAATGCAAGGGAGTGGTGGGCCAGAACTTTTTTTTTTTTTTTTTTTCTTCCCTATTGAAGTTTATATTTGTAGAAGAAAATATCTTCAGTTTTATATAGATAGGCTTTTACAACCTGGAGAAATGTTTATTTAAGCCATGTCAATTTTTCTAACAGCAACCTTTCAGCAATTGCATCTTTAAAGCAGAACTAAACTCATTTAAACAACAGTTACACAGATCCTAACAAAATGTATTCAGATTTTATCATTTTGTTGCTTTTTGTGCTCCAAGGCAGCACTTGCTGGTGTCCAGGCCAAGCCCTGATTTTCTTTTGGAATTGCTACATTACAGCTGTCCCTGGATGCAGTATAATACTAACCTGCAACTTTGCAGTGTATGTGTACACGTTTGGGAGATTTCCGCATTAGCACACAAGTGCCAATGGGCACTATATTGTCCATCCGCCAGAAGCTGGTGGCATTTGTGAGCATGTGTGGAAATCTGCTGCCAATTTTACATTTTTCCAAATGCCTGGAAGAGTCTGGTGGTGCATCTGCGCATGTGCAGTTTTTTTTTTTTTTTTTTTTTTTTAAATGGCATTGCGGAAGAGGGAGTATATTCCAATGTAGTTAAGCTCAGCTTTATAAGCTCTGGTAGAATATTCAGATGCATAGGGTTTTTAGTGCCCCCTAGCATTGGAGGTAGTCATGGCCAAGACTTGTGTAGGGGCTGTACATGGCGACATAGCCCAATAATTTCACCAGCTCTCTTCACATACCCACGACAGCTTTAGACTGTAAGGCAATGCAGGTGCACACATATCGCCAAAGACTCTTCTGAGGCCTCACTATATCCCAGTTCCAGGTAAGCTGCTAGGCCAGAATCTGCCATGCTGCCGAGGACAGGTTATAGTAGCCCAGCTGCCCAGAGAGATGTGTCTCAACCCTATAGGCCATCTCTCACTCAGAGCCCTTCATCCCTCGAGTGCTCCTTTCTTGAGTTGGCTGCTCGCTATAACTTTTAGTACTATATACTGTTCTCCTGCCTAATGAAGGCCACTCCTGTGCGATACAGAAACAAGGCAGTGTAATGTAGGAGGTGTCTTTACTTGACTTCCAAATTACATTACAAGCAGTTACAAAATGTGGGAATTATAACAGTTCAATAGAACAGAACAATTGAACATAGTTTACCCCCAGGCTGCTACAGCCTACTTCCCAAATTAAATGAGAGCGTGTTGCAGGGCTCAAATATGGAGTAAACCGTGCTACACCAGCTTTCCCATGCTGTACAAGTCTGCGGCCAACCTTCAGGAGGCTTCTCACTCCATGCACTTTGAGCTGTTGGGTAATCTCAACCATAGCTCCATCCACTAAAAGTCCTCAGCATGCCCACTGAAGGTATACAGCAGGGCAATGGCTCCCTTCCCCCAAAGGGAAGCTCACCTGGGGTCTACTCACAATTGCAGGCTACACTTGATATTGCCCCTTCTCTCTCTCCCATGCTAGGCTCCCCGCTGGCAGAAAACAGCACTGTGGAAGATATTCCCCTATCAGCACTAACTGTGATGGGAGAATCAAGCAATTTTCTTTCCTTCCACTCGTAGTAGAAGGAGAGAAAATTATATATTCTATGGCCTGCCTAAGTCACTTAATGTTCCACCTGTGTCTCTGAAAGAACTCCTAAGATAATGATTTTACAGTAAGTCACAAATCCTGTTTTGAAAAAACCGGGCCTTTTTGATTTTTAAGTTTTTTTTCCTCTGTTTAAAATGATAGGAAATTGGATATGATGTTAGCAAAGATAGGAACTCTAGGATTTCTAGAAGTAGCAAGAGAGTTTTATGGGAACATTTGAGCTTCTTTATATGCTGCAGTGGTGTTTTATTCACTATTTTTTTTTTTATTTGTAGTAACTAGTATTCTTTTTTTTGCATCTAGATGATAAGAACCTCCCAAGTGTTCCTCCTCTACAACTAAGTGTCCCAGCTGATTACCCTGAACAGAGTCCTCTATGGATGAACAACCCCCGGCAATATGGTATGTTAAACTATATGTAAACCATCAACTTGTAAAACAACCCATTCTTTTAAAATAAAAATGAAAAGCAAAACATTTTTGTATACATATAAAAATAAAAAAAAGGTATTTATTATTTTTTTTTTTTTTTTAGAAGTTTGTTCTCAGGGGGTAGAGGAATAGCAGCAAACTCTTTTTCCCAATGAATGGCTCTGCAGAAATCACCCCTCAGTTGAATTAGTTTTGGACTTTCCGAGGTTTAAAGACTTCCTGCATCCCTCAATGGACAAGTAATAAAATAGGAATTTTGTACTTGCCAAAAATCTTTTTCTTGGAATACATTGAAGAATACAGGCCCTGCCCCTCTATGTAAATAATCATGATCTCCGTACTGGTTTGCTACAAAACTGAAGCATGAAGGTGGCAGGAAGAATTTTTATGGGCTGGCCAAAAGAATGTTTTTCCAGTCTTCCTGTTGGCAGCATTATAACCTGGAAGTTTAAGACTTCCTGTGTCCATTTAATGGAAAAGAAAAGGATTTTAAGGTTAGGACAAGTCCTGTTTTACTAAAGGGTTAATTTTATCTGATTTTAACAAAAGCTTGAAATGCTGCCTCTTTTCATAGTAACTGGTATCCTGAATATTTTACATAAAATATAGGAAAGGTAAAATAGTAGGAGAATACTAAAAAGAGTTGAGATTAAAGTAGTTGTGAACATATGGTGTTATAAGCACTTTCGTAATAGTTATACTGTAACTATGCAGGCATCAGAACTGCTTTCATTTAATTAAAAAATTATCATTCTAACCTCTTTTTACAAGGTTAAAAGGTTCTGTCATGCTATTATATTTCTTATAGTGGGACTGGTGTTACAGGACATTATGCAGACACAATGGGGTTGATTTACTAAAACTGGTTAGTGCAAAACCTGCTGCAGATATGTTTGGTAGCCAATCATCTTCTAACTTCAGCTTGTTCAATTACCGTATTTTTTGCTCCATAAGACACCTAGATTTTGAGGAGGAAAACAAACGAGAAAAAAAATTCTGAACCAATGGACTGCGGACACAGTACAGGAGATGACCAGAGACTGCGGACACAGTACAGGAGATGACCAGAGACTGCGGACACAGTACAGGAGATGACCAGAGACTGCGGACACAGTACAGGAGATGACCAGAGACTGCAGACACAGTACAGGGGATGACCAGAGACTGCGGGCATGCTACAGGAGATGACCAGAGACTGCGGGCATGCTACAGGAGATGACCAGAGACTGCGGGCATGCTACAGGAGATGACCAGACTGCGGGCATGACTACAGGAGATGACCAGAGACTGCGGACGTAGTACAGGAGATGACCAGAGATGATGTAGTACAGGAGCGATCGCAGAGGTGGTGGTGTCGGCTTGCTCCTATCACCGCTTAGCACCTTCCAGGTCCTCCCTAACCCACCCTCTCTTTCCTTCCCCTCCATTGAGGCGCACTGCATCCGACTCTTCTCACCCACCCCCCTTAGGAATCGCAGTGATCTACAGGCCTCCCGGATCCATACCCCGCTTCCTGGACAACTTCGCCGCCTGGCTCCCCTTCTTCCTTTCCTCTGAGCTACCGACCATCATCCTCGGGGACTTTAACATCCCCATCAACGACAACAACCCGACTACTTCCCAATTCCTCCACCTAACCTCCTCCTTCGCGCTCACACAGCACACTCAATCCTCCACCCACTTCGGAGGGAACACCCTGGACCTTGTCTTCTCCCACCTCTGTACCCTCAACCAGTTCTCTAACACCCCCTTCCCTCTCTCCGACCACCACCTCATCACCTTCTCCATCTCCCCTTCCCCCAACCCCCCCCCTCAAAAACGCCAAACCATCACCAGCCGCAACCTCCGCAACCTGAACCCAGCCCCCCTCCACTCTGCCACCCGACTGCCTACACGACAGCATCCTCTCACTGTCATGTCCTGACATAGCCACCACCTTGTACAATGACTCACTGTCAGCTGCCCTAGACTCTCTGGCACCCCTAACCACACGCATCATCAAACCCAGACTGCTTCAACCCTGGCAGACCGACAGCACTAAACGCCTCAAACGTCGCAGTCGCGCACTGGAGAGACTGTGGCGCAAAACCAGGTCCCCTCATACTTTCTCCCTCTACAAATCTGCATTTCTTATCTACACCTCCTCCCTCCACGCCGCCAAGCAGGCCTACTTTGTTAACCTAATCAACACCCTCTCCTCCTGCCCCCGCCGACTCTTCTCCACCTTCAACTCCCTGCTCTCTCCCCCCCCCTCCTCCACTCAGTACCTCTCTCACCGCCCACGAGATTGCCACCCATTTCCACAACAAGATTGACGCTATCCGTAAGGACATCGTCAACTTGCAATCTACCTCCCCACCTAGCCTCCTCACCCCCTCATCTCCCTCCTCCTCTGCCCTCACAACCGCACTGCCCCTCACCTCTCCCAATGCCCCGCCCACCATTACCCCCCCCCCCCCCCCGCACTGCACTCCCTCAGCCCTGTCACTACTGAGGAAGTCGCCAAAGTCCCTCTCAGAAGCCCGCCTCACTACCTGCCCCCTGGACCCTATCCCCTCTCAACTCCTCCAGTCACCCCCCGCCTCCCTCATCCGCTCCCTCACCCACATCTTCAATCTCTCCCTCTCTACTGGTGTATTCCCCTCCCCCCTAAAGCACGCGCATATCACCCCCATACTCAAAAAGCCCCTCCCTGGATCCCGCGGACCCCAACAACCTCAGACCCATCTCCCTGCTGCCACTCACCTCCAAGCTCCTTGAACGCATAGTCTATGATCGCCTAAGCTCCCACCTTACAGACAATAACCTCCTTGACCCACTACAGTCCGGCTTCCGTCCCCTACACTCCACTGAAACTGCCCTCCTCAAAATCACTAACGACCTACTAAACGCCAAAGCCAAGGGCGACTACTCTGTCCTCCTTCTCCTGGACCTCTCTGCGGCCTTCGACACAGTTGACCACCCCCTCTCCCCCCTCCTTCATAAACTACTCTCCCTTGGCATCAGAAGATACTGCTCTCTCTTGGTTCTCATCCTACCCTTTCACGTGTCACCTTAGGTGCCCCCACCTCCTCGTCCCCTCAGTGTCACCTACAATTGGTGCCACCTACCCCTCCCTCCCCCTCTCTGTTGGGGTCCCCCAAGGCTCTGTCCTTGGACCCCTTCTCTCTTCTCCATCTACACCTCCTCCCTGGGCAAACTCATACACTCTCACGGCTTCAACTATCACCTCTACGCTGACGACACCCAAATCTACCTCTCCACCCCCTCTCCTCACCCCCACTATCTCCTCCTCCCGCAATCACTCACCTCCTAATGACACATCTCAGACTGTGGATGTCGCTACATTTCCTCAAGCCTCAACCTCTCTCCAAAAACCGAGCTCCTCGTCTTTCCCCCTGCCAACACACCCCCCGCCCCCCCATCCTATCCATCATCACTCCCAAGTCCTCAACTCACTATCCACTATCATCAACCCCTCCCTTTGCAAGCCAAACCTTATACCTCTTGGCTCACATTCTTCGCACTCGACATTCCTTTCCTTCCCGCATGTCTAAATCACTCACAATCTCCACCCACCTCACCTACAATCCTAGTCACACCTCCCCATCCAACAATTTCCTCAAGATACGTCCCTTCCTCACTCTTGACCCCCCCAAACTTGCTAGATACTTAACCCATCCATCATCTCACGCCTTGACTACTGTAATTTCACTCTTCTCCACCCCCCCTACCCCAAGTGCAGGCTCTAAGGCCCCCCCTCCAGACCCTGAACTCATTGCGGCCCCCCATCATCCACTCACCAAACCCTCCCCCCGCTCCACCTCTGCCAACCCCCCCTCTGCCTCTCCTCACCCTCTAACCACCAAACTTCCACCGTACCCCCTCCTCTCCCTCCTTGACACTAATTCTCTTCTCCGATGCCTACCCAACTGCATCAAAACTTTAAACTCCAACCCTGACCTAAAAAGCCGGTTAGCACTCATCCACCTCACCACCCGCTCCCACCACCCCTGCCGTACCCCAACCCTCACTAAGGCCCTCCCTCTATCCTCCCACCCCTCCTCTGGTTCTGTGCTCCCCCACTCAAAATGACCTCACACTAGATGTAAAACCACAGAATGCCTCTTCTATCCTTACACTGGTCTCCAACGCACGCAAACTTCTACCAGGTCCTCCTAGGACCATACACTTGGCCGTTGTTCTCTGACACTTGCCAACCAACTCAGGACTGTCCCCACTCTTCAACCATTACAGGCGATCCCCAATCTGCACCGCTAAACCATCTCCTCAGTTCGCATCCTCCCAGGACCCTCCTTCTATCCATTCTCCCCTTTCCTTCCTCCTCCATTCCCTCATGCACGACCTGCAGGACTGTACCTTTAGGTCCTCCCCCATCCTCTGGAAAGAGTCCAGGGCCCAATCCTTCAGACTGTCGCCTTCCCTCTCACATTCAGAGGCGCTCCCTGTCAAACCCATCGTTTGAAGCCTACCCACCCTCACTTAACGCCATTCCTCACCGCATTCCTCCACCCCTTCATTGTTCCAGTCGTACCTTTAACCCCCTCCCCCTAGATAGTAATCTCGAAAGAGTACTCCCTCTTACGGTATTGTTACAGTTGAATAATGTACTGGTCATGTGAGACCACCCCCCCTCTATTGTACCGCTGAGACAAACCCTTTGGACGCTAGTAACTGGCTCAGTAATAAGAAACCAGAGACTGCCAACGACAGTAGTACAGGAGAAGACCAGAGACTAACGGACGTAGTACAGGAGAAGACCAGAGACTGCGGACGTAGTACAGGAGAAGACCAGAGACTGCGGACGTAGTACAGGAGAAGACCAGAGACTGCGGACGTAGTACAGGAGAAGACCAGAGACTGCGGACGTAGTACAGGAGAAGACCAGAGACTGCGGACGTAGTACAGAGAAGAGACAGACAGACTGGCGGACGTAGTACAGGAGAACAGACCAGAGACTGCGGACGTAGTAAGGAGAAGACCAGAGACTGCGGACGTAGTACATGAGAAGACCAGAGACTGCGGACGTAGTACAGGAGAAGACCAGAGACTGCGGACGTAGTACAGGAGAAGACCAGAGACTGCGGACGTAGTACAGGAGATGACCAGAGACTGCGGACGTAGTACAGGAGATGACCAGAGACTGGAGGGACGAAGTACAGGAGATGACCAGAGACTGACCAGACCTTTGGGGAGAGGGGGGACAGGTACCTGAGTTTGACAGGTACCCCCCTCCCTCCCCCTAGTCTTGTGGGAAACGTGACCAGTCCCACAAGACTACGGGACCATTCACAAAGCGCAGCACATCTTGCGCATGCGCAGTGGGAACCCGGCTGTGAAGCCGCAAGCTGTCACAGCCAGGTGTCCACACTGAAGATGCTGGCGTCAGGGAGAGAAGACGGCCGATGGAAGCAGGACAGCGCTGGACCGAGGAACAGGTAGGATGGAGGAGCGGGTTTTTCTGCATAATACTGGGCCGGCCGCTCCATATTCACGCCATAAGACGCCCAGACATTTTCCCCCATTTTTTGGGGGGAAAAAAGTGTGTCTTATGGAGCGAAACATACGGTAAACTTTGACAAAAAAAATCTGGAAGCTGATTGGTTTCTGTGTAGAGCTTGCACTCTCCAGTTTTAGTAAATCAAGCCCACTATGTCTATATTTCTTGATGTGTTCAAAGACGCAGGCTTTGCTTGGTCAGGGGGTTTGGTGGCAGAACAAACTACCCAATACAGGCATGCTGAGTGTGTACACATTGTCCTGTACCTCTGAATGGCCAACCAAAGGATGAAAACTGACAGAGCAAGCACAGATCAGCTTCTGTGCTTTGCTTGGTCAATTTATAATAAGCATGAAAGGTGATTGGCAGGATCAGCCAGGTACTTAAGATGAAAGAAGTACATGAACATGATGGCGACTATAAATTTGTAAAAAACACACATGTAAACACACATTTCGAAAAAATATAAATTTTAGGGAAACGTTCACTTTAAAGTTAGCGTTGGGGAAAGGTTACAACCTCTTTTGGATTTTAACCACTTCTCATTCAATTTACAGTGGATATAAAAAGTCTACACACCCCTGTTTAAAATGTCAGGTTTTTGTGATGTAAAAAAGTGAGACAAAGATAAATAATTTCAGAACTTTTTCCACCTTTAATGTAACCTATAAACTGTACAACTCAGTTGAACAACAAACTGAAATCTTTTAGGGGGGGGGGGGGGGGGGAAGTAAAAATAAAAGAACTAAAATAATATAGTTGCATAAGTGTGCACACCCTTAGACTAATACTTTATTGGAGCACCTTTTGATTTTATTACAGCATTCAGTCTTTTTGGGTATGAGTCTATCAGCATGGCACATCTTGACTTGGCAATATTTGCCCACTCTTCCTTGCAAAAATACTCCAAATCTGTCAGATTGCGAGGTCATCTCCTGTGCACAGCCCTCTTCAGATCACCCCACAGATTTTCGATCGGATTCAAGTCTGGGCTCTGGCTGGGCCATTCCAAAACTTTAATCTTCTTCTGGTGAAGCCATTCCTTTGTTGATTTGGATGTATGCTTGGGTCGTTGTCATGCTGAAAGATGAAGTTCCTCTTCATGTTCAGCTTTCTAGCAGAAGCCTGAAGGTTTTGTGTCATATTGACTGGTATTTGGAACTGTTCATAATTCCCTCTACCTTAACTAAGGCCCCAGTTCCAGCTGAAGAAAAACAGCCCCAAAGCATGATGCTGCCACCACCATGCTTCACTGTGGGTATGGTGTTCTTTTGGTGATGTGCAGTGTTGTTTTTGCACCAAACATCTTTTGGAATCATGGCCAAAAATTTCAACCTTGGTTTCATCAGACCAGAACACATTTTCCCACATGCTTTTGGGAGACTTCAGATGTGTTTTTGCAAAATTTAGCTGGGCTTGGATGTTTTGCTTCGTAAGAAAAGGCTTCCATCTTGCCACTCTACCCCATAACTCAGACATATGAAGAATACGGGAGATTGTTGTTACATGTACCACACAGCCAGTACTTGCCAGATATTCCTGCAGCTCCTTTAATGTTGCTGTAGGCCACTTTTCATCAATTTTGGAGGGACATCCAGTTCTTGGTAATGCCATATTTTCTCCAATTGATAATGACTGTCTTCACTGTGTTCCATGGTATTTCTAATGCCTTGGAAATTCTTTTTTACCCTTCTCCTGACTGATACCTTTTAACAATGAGATCCCTCTGATGCTTTGGAAGCTGTCTACGGACCATGGCTTTTGCTATAGGATGGGACTAAGAAAATGTCAGGAAAGACTTACTAGAACAGCTGAACTTTATTTGGGGGTTAAAGTTCTGAAATGATTTATCTTTGTCTCCTTTTTTTACATCACAGAAACCTGACATTTTAACAGGGGTGTGTAGACTTATTATATTCACTGTGTTTAATTGATAAGCTGCAATGTATAATTATATAAAGTTTTTGGTTTATTAACGACTTAGTAACACCTTGGTTAGCCCTAACTGGCCCTTTTTTTTAACTCCTCCTTCCCCTTTCTTATTCGATTTTGTAGGTTTGCATTAAAATGGTACACTTTTTTGTAAAGAACATTACCATGCATTGTGCTGAAAATGTAACACTGTTGTAGACTGTAAAAGTGGAAGAATAACATTTTGCACCTTTTTATCCACGGTAACAAAACACAAGTTGTTATGAAATTAAATGCTGGTTAAAGTAGGTCAAAGCCTATATTTTCTTTTTTTTTTGTCATTTTAGAATGCATAGAATAAATTTTTTTTTCAGAACAATATTGGTTGAGAGATCCTTGTTTTCTCTTGAAAAGTAATGTGTTATTGCTGCACCAGTAAGCCCATAGTTTAAATTGCACTAGTACGTAATGCATATACTAGTGTGGGAGCAGAAGTGGTTAAGCTTTGGCTAGGAGTTTGTTATTTTGAATGTGTGCATAAATCACAGGGACTGACCCATTCTTTTTTCTTCATGTTCTCTTTCAGAGGCCAATCCTTTCCTACAATCTGTGTACCGCTGCATGACATCTAAACTACTTCAGCTTCCCGACAAACACTCTCTCACAGCATTGCTGACCACGTGGGCACAAAGCATTCGGCAAGCGTGTCTTTCTGCTGCATGACGAGGACAAGATGTTCATATGCATAAACACATCTGTACCAGTCTTTTAGGTCCATGTGGCCAGTAAATGGAAATGCTGAACAGGGGTTAAAATTCTGCAATATGCTTATGAGTCTTTTAAAAGATAATTTTTTTTCTTTTGTGCAGTTTCTTGCAATAAAAGTAAAGATTCTCATCTCAGAGAGTCATTCATATATAACTATTGCTTTGTTAACAATTCTTATTTCTATCAAACGGTTTGGAAAAAATAAGCATTGTACAGTAATAATACCCAGGCATTCAACAATGGACGTTTTTTGTATGTAAATGAAGTGGAATAAACAAGACTTCAACTGAGAGTGTGGTCACAGACTATGCACATTTATTATACAATCCTAACATGAGCACAAGCTGAATACCAGAGTGTTTTTATATAGGAATTCAAGGTACATCACAGCCTTTATTCTGTATCTCATCAGCTCATATAACGAAACGCCTTTCTTATAAGAGGTGTTAGAAAGGGGACAATTGTAGGCATATCTATAAAGGAGTGAAGGTGACATTTAACAGATATTCACTGCAGGTTGAATCATCCTGGTGCATAGGGTTATTAAAGCAAATGATTTGCCATTTGTGAATGTTTGGAGGAATATCACATTAACTGCTTTTAGAAATATATGTAAGCTAAATTGAAAGAGCCAAGTTGGTTACAAAGACACCATATCAGAATAGATATAAGACATTAACAGAGTCCCTAAATGTTGGGAAATTTCCATGAACAATTAAAACAAGTGTTGACTTTAACCCCTTCGTGCCTAAGGGGTTTTTTTTTTTTTGTTTTGTTTTTTAAATTTAGCTGTATATTTCTTGCTACTATATACCACCATAACCCCATAACCTAACACCAAAGAAGAACCCAAAATAATTTCTTCTGCTCCTGATGATCGCAGCGATACCACGTGTGTGTGTATGTTGTTGTTGTTTGTACCCGAAGTACAGTCCAGAAACAATAGTGTGCAATTTTTTTTTTTTTATCCTGCCACTAACTGATACTGACCTTGACCTTTGACCTAAACACTAACTCTGGCACAGACCTAGATCAAACCTTGATCTAGGTATTTTTGTTTATTTTGTTATCATTTTTATTTATTTTTCACACACATTTTTTTTTTTTTTTTTTTATTCCTCTCTCTGAAAGGACAGAGAGAGATACATTGTATCTCTCCTCCATTCAATGAGAGAAAACAAGGGGGGTGGGCTTCACAATGACTGATCACTGTGATAGCCAATCAGAGGCTATCACAGCGATCAGGTGACCCAGAATCAGGAGTTCCTGGTCCCGATCGTTAGAACGGGATCCCGGGCTCTCAGTGACACCGCAGTCTTTGTGCTGGGAGTGTGCCGTGCAGCGTACTCCCAGCAGAAAGGCAGGTACGCAAATTAGCGGCACCACGGAAAAAAGCCCAGTTCTGTGAGGCCACTAATTTTGCGTATGGTCGGCATCAAGGGGTTAATATATTCATGCATAAAACCATGTTCTGTGCTTGAAAAGACATCCGTTTTAGCACTGTACATTTGCAGACTGTGACAAATATTTCTTCTTTTCTCGTGTTCAGAGGTCATATACTGTCAAGTTATACGGGTGCCTACACGAGGATTGGACTCTTACTCCTGCAAACACAAAACCTGTAGGCCAGCCTAGGATAACCCCTCCTCTACCTAGCATTCCTCAGTTTTGCTAGTGTCCTAGGAGGATTTTCTTTTCTTCAGCTCTACTAGGAAAAGTTTAATTTAGAATTTTTCTTTGTTTTCTATTAAGGGACACAGAAATTAAGATACAGTCCGGTTATACTACTGCCTACAGATTCCGCCTCCCCTTCCCTGGCCCAAGACCTGTGGGACTAGCATGGAAAATGTGACCTTTTGCACTGCTCTCTACATTGTGGCACTTGCCTGACTTGAGTGTACTGTGTTAGCGGAGTGCTTTTCAAGTACACAACCATGGCACAACTGGAATGACCCTCTCTGGAAATTTTTAAAGGTCCACACTGTATGCACTGCTGAGTGCTTTTCAAACTTCCTACCACTGCTTGTTTTATCTCAGTAGGGGTCAAGACTGTACGACTGAGCTCTGACATCTGCTGGGAAGAGCAATGCTCGCACACACCTTTTGCACTCTTTCCCCGCCATTCAGCCCAGTGGAAACATCATTTGGCTCCCGCTGTTGAAGTGCCACCTGGATCTCCAGTCCATTTCCACTGCCTGCTTACTGTAACCTGGTCACCCCTGGCTGTCTAAAACATCATTCCTCAGGACCAGTTGCCCAGGTTTTGTTAGCACCTGGGACATTGCCTCACATTTACTTGGTATCCTCAAATGGAACAAGCCTATATACTGGACTCTGAAACCCCTATTGCTCTGCCGAGGAAGATTTGAGATCTTCCCAAAGTGACTCAATGATTTCAAGGTGAGAATGTGATATCCTCTCTAGAACCTTCACCTTTTTTTGCTGCTGTAACCACTGGAGGGTCAACTTGACCTTGTGCTTAGGATCATTGTCATGTTGGAAAGTCCAAGAGCATCCCATGAGCAGCTTTCGTACAGAAGAATGCAAATTGTGTGCCAGTGTTTTCTGATAAATGCTGCATTCATCCCACTAATTTTCACAAGATTCCCGTGGCTTTAGAGCTCACACATACCCCAAACATCAGTGAGCCACCACCATTCTTTGCAGTGGGGATGATATTCGTTTTGTTTGTTAACCCCTCTCCAAAAATAGTACTTATGATTGCTACTATAAAGCTTTGGTCTTGTCACTCCAGAGCATCTTGTAACTAATCTTTTTTTAGTTACATTGGCACAGTGAAGCCTTTTTGGCAACTCGACCATGCAGCTCATTGTGTTCAAGCATTGTCGTACTGTGCTCCTTAGACAACCACACCATCTTTTACCAGAGCAGCCTGTATTTCTCCTTTACCTGTGGGTTTTTCTTTGTATCCCAAACAATTCTTTTGGCAGTTGTGCCTGCAATTTTTCTTGGTCTACCTGACCTTGGCTTGGTTTTAAGAGATCCATGAATTTTTCACTTAATAAGTGATTGAACAGTACTGACTGGCATATTTAAGGCTTTGGATATCTTTTCATATCCTTTTCCATCTTTATAAAGTTCCATTACTTTGTTATACAGTTCTCTTCTGCTCCCCATGTCTCAGTATCTAGCGGGCTCAGTGCATCCATGTGAGAGCTAACAAACTCATTGACTATACACACACGAATTGCAATTTAAAAAAACCACAGATGTGGGAAATTACCCTTTAATTGATATATTAACCTTTGTGTGTGTGTGTCTGTACCAAGGTCAAACATTCCAGAGTATGTAAACTTTTGATTTACATACATTTGGGTGATTTCTGTTGTCATTATGATTTACAAGGAGCCAAACAACTATGCTATAATAATTGGCTTCATATAATTACTATCCTTAAATTAAAGAGGTATTTGGTATGATTGGTCATATTTTCAACATCAATGACAACATTTCACAATTTCTGACAGGGTATGTAAACTTTTAAGCACGACTGTATGATCTGGAAGCGAGGCCTGCTATCTTATGCCAGTCCTCGAGTTCCAGTTCTGTAAGTAGGTCACATTCCCATTTAAGCCTATATGGTTGTTTAACAGAATTTGACATTTATATGAAATAGATTGCTGAAATTAACCCAAGTGTTTCATACGACTTATATAGAGCCTCAAAGGTTGGCAGGCTAAATATATCACTGCTGCGATGTAAAGAGTGCACAAAGTGAGTCAGCTGGGTATAGCGGTTCCACTTCCAGGAAATGGTGTTTTTCTCATAAAAATCGAAGTGAGGTAACACTTTCACCTTTGCGCATATCAGCAATTAGTCCACCACTTAACGTGACCTGGGGTTAAAGACAGATTATTTAATAGTGGAGCCGGAGGGCTGCATTTGGTTTGGAGGTTGTAAGATATGTTTCATCTATCCCATAGGCTCAGAGATAAAGAGAGAGTGCGACATAGAGGGTCGATCCTTTTACAGCAGCCACAGTTTTGAGCTGGTAGATAAGGATTTAACATCCAAGGCAAAAAAAAACATTTAGGGTGTGGAAACGGACTAGTTGGGCCAGTTGCTCAGCCTGTTAATATTTGGAAAAGTCATGGATTCCCAGACCCCCTCTTTGCTTAAACGTGAATAGGGTACGCTTATCTACCCTAGGTCTCACCACATATGAATTTCAATATATTTCTTTTGCAATAACGAGATCTGAAGTGTTTAAAACCACTGGAAGTGTACTAAAAAGTACAGCATCATAGGTCAACTTTATATTTTGACAGAGTACAACCTAGCAAACCATGAGAGGGAATATGACATTCTATCTAAATCAGCTGTTAAGTTTTTGTATAGAGGAGGGTAATTTTTTTTCTATATAGTGTACGTAGAGATGGAATTAAATGAATGCCCAAATATGGTAGGGCTTTTGATCTTATTTATTATAGGTACTTATATAGCGCCATCAATTTACACGCTTTACACATATATATATATTATACATCACATCAGTCCCTGCCCTCAAGGAGCTTACAATCCAAGGTCCCGAACTCGCATTCATACATGCTAGGGCCAGTTTAGATAGGATCCAATTAATCTACCAGCATGTCTTTGAGGTGTGGGAGGAAACCGGAGTACCCAGAGAAAACCCGCACAGGAACAACATGCAAACTCCAAGAAGGTAGTGTCATAGTTGGGATTCAGCTCTACCACAGTCCAGTTATTGAGAGATATGTTCATTGACTGAGACTTTGAGCAGTTTGCCTTAGGCCTGAAATATTTGAGAATAGCGTAACAAGCAAGTTGAGGATGTTGATAATGGGGGAAGATACCAGCATTAAAATATTGTAGTCAAATAAGGCACATTTGTGCTCTTGGTGTCCACACAGGATTCCTTTAATTTCAGGATTGGCACGTATCTTAATTGCCAAAGGTTCAATTGCCAGAATTAA